AGAAGGGTCGCCCCGTGGCTTCAGGTCTTCGCAGACAACGGATTGCCCTCAGGGTGCATGCATTTCAGAACCCCATGCACTCTTTTTTTTTTTTTTTTTTTTTTTTTTTTTTTTTAAGAACCCCATGCACTCGTTCATGAGGGGTTTTATAACCTTCATTGTAACAAGGGTCAGAATTCCGGACTCAGATACTTGGCACAGTCGGGAATACTTGCTGATAGATTATGGGCCTGGCTCCACTGCTCACCAAATGTGCAAGACGAGAATGAATCTTCGGCTAGAACAAGGGAAGATACATGGCCATATTTTTTGTGGTTTGCGGATGTGGTGAGTAGTGGAGCGAGGCCCTATATAATTATATTCCACAGCGTTTGAACCATAGTTTGAGCTCCGCATAAGAAGAGAGGATTTGCCGTGTCCACTCTACCTACCACCAAGCCACTCTGCGCTGCTGCCATGTGGTGGGACTGGTCGCACCCTTGTCTTGCAGTCCCAAACTCTGCGACCCGTCACACCCTTCTCTTCCAGTTCCAAATGCTCCGTATGAAAGAGTACGCTCCATTCTCAGGGCATACCCACACTAGGACTTCTTAGACTACGCTCTGGATGTGCTTGCTGCCAGATCAGCCAGATTCATCCGGGTCTAGCCATAATTCCAGTCATTCACAAAAATCCTCGTTAGAGTATGCCCTTTTTTTCCCCCTTTTTTTTTTTGGTAATTGAAATTCCCTTTTGGATGTTAGTGGTGTTGATACGAGCTTGTTTGAGTATGCCCTAGGAAGGTGCAATGGTCTTTGATCAGGGCCTGTCTGTGACTTATGGAGGGTGAGGGAGATTGGGTGGGTGGAGTGGGCGAGAGGAAGGTCTTTTTTTTTTTCTTTTTTTCTTTTTTGATGGAACAATGCGCCACTCTATTTGTGGCGAGCAACACGTGCCGGGAACCGGACCCAGCGTTCCTCGTGAAATACAGAAATCAAACCAAGGTACTGAAATCAAACCAAGGTACTGAAATCAAACCAAGGTACTGGGGCCATTACCCGGCTTTGGTTGAGGAGATCCAGGAGAACTCGGGAAATTTTATAAACAAAACTACTAACCAACTAGAGTAAAGTCTACTGATTTTTTTTATTTATTTTTCCAGAGAGAGTCACAAACAACACCTCGCTAAGCTAATTTGAAACAGGATTCCGATGATCATCAATTTTCTAGAAGAATACCCC